TCTGCCTCCTCCGTCATCTTCCCCGGCCTTCTTTCTCCGCAATATCCTTTGCCTTCCTCATTAATTTCTCTCTCCTCCAGCCCTCCTCCTTCTTCTTTCTTCTCCTTTTGTTCGTCATCTTTTTCTTGTTTTATTTCCTTTTATAAGAACCCAGATCTAGGTTCTAGATCTGGTTTTCTAAAAGAACTAATCCTGGGTTCTCTTTGGCTTCCGATGAGCCTAGTGAATTAGAGCTCGTACGTGGGAGCTCCGTTGACGACGGTAGAGAGGCCCTGGGACCCGCCGCTGATAGATGACAGCAACGTCGTCGTTTTATCTCTTCTCCTGCGTTCTAAAGTGCGCCCCTTTCCTCCTTCCCTTTCTCAGCCACCTCAGAACTGGTCTTAACAGATAACAACGGCCATTAGAGAAACAACACCAAGAGTGATTGAGATTTCAACGGAGGTAATTTCTTTATCTACTTGTTCTTTCGTCCCCCTCCTCCTCGCTCCTCCTCCTCCTTCTTCTTTTTCCTTTTTACCTGTTTTCGTTCTTAGTTTCACACACCTTGACCATATAAATAATTATGAAGAGGCAACTCGGTTAAGACAAACTAACTTCCGTATCATATGTAGTTTACCTAAATGAAACATGGGCAAGTTTTCTCTTGTTTAATTGCAAGAATCTGAACTAACAAAGCATACTTCTCTCTTCAAATTTTGCAATTTTCCAACTTTTCTTGTTTTGTTGTTAAAATCCTGTGAAGGGTAAAATATACTAACAGTAGTTCTCGTTTCGGTTCATTATTTGATCTGAATATTGAGGTATTTAGCAATGGGATAGATACCCGACTTTTGGTTGGATTGCAGATAATTAATGACATGGGAATTTTAAGCATTTCTTTGGACACAATGGTGAAAACAGTTTTCTTGTTTTCGAAAATGATCAGAACAAACCAAAGCGTGTGGTCGAAAATTTTCTAGGAAGAATTATTGGATGATCTCATGTGTTGCCCATTGCAATGTATCCTACTGAGGATTTGCAATTTGTTTGGTTTCAAGCATTATTTAAACCCCCAATTATTCTTTTTTGGACTGCTGCAGTCACCAGAAGTTGCAACTTAATATTTGTGAAGAATTTTTGTCATGGACACATGGCAAATAATTCACATCCCAGACAAGCCACAAGTTCCACCTGACCAACAACCCACTGGTCAGTAAATCAATGCCCCAAGTTCTTTCAAACATCTTTTAGTTTTTGCATGTTTATCATTTTGCCAAGTTTGCTGATTTTCCTTTTGTTCAATTCATGCAGTCAATGTGTATGCCGCAGTTATTGAGCTGAAGCTTGCCAATAGCCTTGTAAGGTTAGTCTTTTTAAATTTGCTTCTCAGATTTCATATTTATTATTTTATTTTAATTTATTTTAAGAAGTTATGACATTTTCTCGTGTGTTGTTTTAGAATTATGAAACTATAGTTGTCACAAAAATCTATATATATAACAATTGTTTTGTCTCTTCTTTCACACCTTTATAATATTTGTGCACATGGATCAGGACTTAGTGAAAATATTTAATTTACTTATTTCAATTTTCAATAAGTGAAATAATAATCTTTCTTTTTAGTTTTGAATGAAAGTTTAAAAGCACGAATGGTCTCTAGCATCATAGGTAAGTTGATGAACATTGTTTAATTTTATGATTAGGCGCTTAAATCAGATAGCACCACTGGAAAATCTTCGCCATGTGAAGCGGGTTCAAAAGAAATGCCTTGAAGGTGTGTGCCTATTTTGTACTGGCCTTTATAGATATCTATATGTCTGACTCCTACATTTGGTGATAATTGTAATTGTTTTTATTTAAATCAGAAGTATCACTTGAAACCTTTCAGACTGAAAGATGATTTAGAACTGCTAATCATGCATATAAGTGATTGGGTGGTTTCAAGCTCAGGTGATAATAGTTAAATTCGAGAGAGACTTCATATTAGATATCATTTCAGCTCCTGAATCGGTTTGTTTTTATTAATTCAGCTGTTTGACAATTTAATATTATTTGACAAGGGTTAACATATTGTTACAAGCCTTAACCTTGAGAATGTGATATGGTATAGATGTGCAATGAGGAAACTATTTCTGTTTAGAATGGTTCTTTTGATCTTCTGCTAACCCTATTTAATTTAACAAATATTTATAAATTCAACCTATTCCCTGGAGAAATACATAAAAAATGCAACCATGAGGATCACAGAATTTTACATGGTTTACAGTCTGAAGAATGTATTTCCTAGAGAGAGGTCTCGGAACCATGCTTTTCTGATTGGATAGGAGATTTTTCCTCTTAACTCAATGTCACTTCTAAGTGTCCATCTTCACATTGTGTACATTTTATATTGAAGGAAGTTTCCAGCATTATGGTAGTGACAGTTGGCTCATTTGACAGGAAAAACTCAGTTATCTGTGATATTATGTTTAGCTTGTGAAAATGAAACTGAGTCCAACAGCATTCCACAGGATGTACAAGAGCTGATCAATTCATACCAGTTGAGTTCATATATTACAAAAGTGGGTCATCCTTTTAATCTTTTGACATTATTGCCTAATAGTGTTTCTTTTTCCCCCTAAAGAGTTATCAAGTGATGCAAGGACATATCAGGATTCCTAGAAAATAATCTTCTGTTTGGCTTTTACCTATTGTTTTCTGCGTCTGCTATTTCTTCTGGAGTTGGAAATCTTTAAGAATTTAAGCATTTATTTGTCCCATTTGGTGGTTTTTCTACTATCTTCCTCTTTTGCTATGTGTGCAATTCAACTTTCTCTAGAGCTTTTTCTATTAATTATCTTATTTAGAAAAAATATTTCTAGCTCCCTTTCATGAACTTGGACTCCTTAACTTTTGAAGTTATTAAGATAGTCATGTCAAATATGTTTCTTCTGGACCTTTTCAGGTTAGCAAATATGCTCCATTATCAAAAGAAGAATGGGAAGAACAATGCAAATTGTGGCCTACCTCATATCATCCACCAACCTAGTATGTTAAGTATATCTACATTTTCTTTCTGGTGATTTGGCTGGTGGATTAGTGAATGAAATACCTATATCAAATGAACTTTCTATCTATTAAAATGGTGGAGATGTTGACTTATTTCTCTCTAAATATCTTCTCCAAGGCACCATGTTGGAGTTCTGGAAAATAGAGGTGCTTAACTTAAATGATATAAGTGACCATTGTAATTGTAACAAACTTCAAAGCTAGCACCTCTAACAAAATGTAAATGTACATACTCAACCATGGTTCCTTACTTCACATGTTGCAATTTTTACCTTTTTTTTTCAATAATGCAGCAATATTGATGGTATTACTGGATTTAGCAAAGAAGATGCAGAATTCATTTTTGGTTTTATGAAATACACTATTGAGTTGATGAAGTCCAGTGATAGCTCAGTAAGTATTCTGTCTTTCCATCATGTGGTCTTCTCATGTCTCTATTAGAGGCACATCTATGGTTGATTGGAGTTCATGAACTCCAGATCATTATAGATGATAGAGTGTTCAATTTATTTCACTAGGCAGAGAAGAGTATCTAGATGTCATTCAAACTCGTTGCATATTCAGTTTTAGGGTGGATATTAGGTTCCTGAAGTTTAGCTCAGTTAGATAATGGCATAAAGCTTGTTTTATTTGATATGTCAGGTGTAGAATTTTGGATTTACTACACTTTTTGTTGAGAAACAGAGCTTTATTTGTTGAGGCTCCATTTAATATGGTTTTGGTTTTTATTTTTTATATATTTAGTAACTAATATATAAAAAATAAAAACCAAAACGATAGTAAATGGAGCCTTAGTAGCTAGGTTTATTCTGCTTCTGACAATGATTCCTCTTTCTGCTCTGCTTTTCAGATTGTCAATGCTGCAGTTATAGTGGATCCTTCAGTTAAGCGGATAATTGCAGGTGCATGTGATCAAGTCAGCATGTGGTGTAATCCACCAAGTGAGGCCAGTATTGAGAGAAGCAACTTTAAACGGTCAGAAGTAGTCACTCTCCATGCTGATTCCAATGGAGTAGCAAGCGATGTAACTTTGTCTTCAAATGCGTTATCCATTAATCAACAATCTTTTGCTACTGTTTCTTGTTTAAACCCTTGGCAGTGGCCTCAGCAGTCATTGAATACAAGTTCTTGTTATTGGCATCCATTACGACATGCTGCCATTGTTGCTATTGAAGCTTCTGCTGCGAGGGACAGACATTTATTCCATGTTTTGGGAAATAATGGAGATAAGGCTTATGAGTTTGACAATGACCACTCTTCCCCAGTGAGTTCTCCAACAAAAAAACAAAAGATTAACCTTACAAATGTGAGTAGCATCCATCTTTCTCTTGCACTGAACAATCTTGTGAGGTGGTTGAGTCAGGTGCCTATGTTTCTTGGTGGTTCACACAGACAACTCTTTTCATGAGAGTCAGGTACTGCATGTGAACCATCTAAACATGGTTAGACTATAAATTATAAAAGCATCCTTGATTATGTGACTTTAATGAGTTGAATCACATTAGTCATGCATTATGATACTGTTTCAGGTCAAGAATGATGAGGAACCAGGTGCACTTTCTGAAGGTTCGCAGCCCTCATCAGCTAGACCTTATCTATGTACTGGATACGACATCTACCTAGTTTGGGAGCCTTGTGCAATGTAAGTTCATCAAACAATCTTGTGTAAAAGATTGGCTGGACTGAAGGTGAAGGACTCATCACCCATTGTAATTGATTTAGAGTGGATTAATGAACAAAACAATCATAAACTTAAAAATGTTTGAAGTTATGAAGCTTATTAAAGTGTAAAAGATACTGTAAAGGTTTCTTGGAGTTTGCATAAAAGAACTTCCCGTTTCGATTTTGTGTGGTAGGAAATGTGGATATGGAATGCAATTGAAAAATGATTATCGGTGTATTATGATTAGCTTTTTATTCTCTTTCATTTTATTATCTTTTTTTTATTGTTATTTGAAGTGTTTCATCATCTGATATCTCGATGTTTATTTTGTTTTCAAGGTGTGCTATGGCACTTGTGCATCAAAGAATTAAGCGCATATTTTATTCTTTCCCAAACCCTAAAGCTGGTGCCTTGGGAAGTGTTCATAGGCTACAGGGTGAGAAGAGCTTAAATCATCACTATGCTGTTTTCCGTGTCCTCATACCAGAGGAAGTCCTAAAGAGTGGTGAGACTCTGCCGGAAACTAAGAGCTGGCAATCCAACAAGAGGGTTGAAGCACCTATTAGCATGTGATCTTCAATCAAGAAATCTCCCTTTGGAATATGGCTCTGCCCTTCAAGTTTTGCTTATGACTTGTAGTGTAGCTTTGTAATCTTTACCATCTCTATGAAACCGTGCTTGATATAGCTGGCCTCAACCTTCCATTCTCGTTTCCTTTCTGATTCTGTGTAACTGTTGTTTAAAGTGTTTACTAAAGCTGATTATAACTTTATTTATGTGTCCAATAGAAATTTGGGTTTTTGATATTTAGATTTCCCCAAATCCCAGCACATGTAACTTTTATTTAATAACAGTCATTTCCCGATACAGTTTGGATTTTGTGTTATGGGACTACAAAAAATTTAGGAGTCCATGTGAAACGAATGGTAGGGAAATGGTAGCCGCCCTTGTGATTGGTTCAAATGCATTTTTCCTTTAAAAAAATTTGAAGAAAAAAAGGAAAGGAGGGACTATTGAAGTCTAGAGTGCAGATACCACTACTCCCAAAGGTTTGTACTTGCAAGTGTGAAAATCATAGGCATATAAAATTGCATAAGAACACTCATGATCAAGAATCTTAATAAACATATACAATATCCTTCCTTTTTTGTTCTTTTTGATTGGAAAGCTGAGAAGGATATTATTGATATAAAGGCAAACATACACAATAGACCATATTCAGCTAATGAACGAAGCTATTCTAAAGTGCTAATTCTAGTTGAATGTTTCCATAAAGGATATAACACATATGGTAAGGAGGATCGTCTGTAACTAGAATCAGTATAGACTATAGAAGACATTAACAGAGCTACGATTGTAGGAGGGTCACTATACAATATCCTTGTAGGACAATAGAGACAATACAGAAAAGTTCCTGAATTATGAAATTTAAAGCACAACACCTTCAGATGGATTTTCTGCTTGCATTTCTCTCTTTTCTGAGATTTATTACATCAACATAATTTGGAAATGCACATCTCAAAACTAAGAAAATGGAACTTTCAATATAATATGGAGCAATTAGTGGCATTCAAAGCACCCCAAGATAAACAAACAGCAAAATAACAACAATCACTAAACAAACAACCGCATCAATGGCGAGAAAAATCCGCAACAGGTGGCACCATTTCTTTGGTATGTTTGGAGCGCCAGATCTAATTCTTGCTGAACCAAAATCCTTTTGCGATGAGATTGAAGAACTTGCTCCATGATGGTTATTAGAATCCAATGGTTCTGAATCAACCTTAACTCTATCTGAAGAATTCCAATGCTCTTCCAACTCAATATCTCTAATTGAAATTACATGATCTTTCTGCTTCTTCTTCTTCTTGCTTAGATTACGAAGCAAAGGAGCCTTTGTAGAACTAGCAGCTTCAATTTCAGCATTCACATCACTTGGTGAGGAAGTCTCACTCTCAGCCTCCCTCTCATTGATACTTTGAGAGACATGTTCTAATGAATTTATCAAGTTGCGGATAACAGGCACAAATTCTTCTTGCACGCTAACTAAAATCATATTCGAAAAGCTACCTTTGAAATCGCTTTTAGCTACCCTCTTGAACTCATCTCTCATTCGTTGTAAAAATTGGAGTACAACAGGATTTGCGAGAACTTTGTCAACCATAGTGAAGTAAACATATCCATCTTCTATCAAAAAACCAAAAGTTCTTCTACCTACTGTCTCAAAATACCACTTATGAAATGGGGGAGTCCTCTCCAAACACAGGGCAGCAAGAGCCTCAATCTCATCCTCTCCTCTATTGTATGCATACAGAATCCGATTTCCCTTCCATACGCAACAATAATGAACCTTATCATAGATTGAACCCATTGAACCAAACTACTCTTCAAGAAACATAGATTTGGAAAAGGAGAAACCCAAATGAATATTCTTTATTAAATTGAAGTCCAACATCCAGTCAAAAACAAAATGAGGAACCAAGTTCTATATGACATACCGATCAACTCCTGTTAGGATGCCCACAAAGCAGAAGAAAAGCGATGAAAAAGTTCAAGCAAAGGAATTCCTGTGCAATAATTCACAAAAGAACAAGAGAAAAAGGGTTAGACTTGCATTTGTCACCACTTTTTTCTCAGGAAACAAACAAACGACGAATGCATCATTACCCGTGAATTTACAACTCGAACTAGTGAGTTGTTCTGAGAGATTCTCTCATCCATGATTCACCGAGTTCAGTTCGATAAATAATTGGCGCTGACATATTCCTGTATGGTGTTGGAATCATCAGACATCAAATGAGAAGCAAGGAGAAGACTTGTGGCTCTCGCAGTTGACTCGTTTTTTGGCATATATTAATTCAAAGCTGTTAAATAAAATAAATTTCTTTTTTAAATAGGAAATATAAATTATATTAAAATAATAAATAATGATGGGATGAATGAAAATTTAAAAATAATGATGGTGATTTATATTATATTATTAAAGTAATTTATGTATCTATTTATATATATAAAATATTATTTTATGCATTAAATACGATATATATTTATGTATATAATATATAATATAATATAATGATATATATTTATTATTTATTATATAATTATTAATAGTCGATCCCATTTCTTTTTTATGAATTTATATTATTTTGAACTAAACTATTATTTATGTTGGATTTTGTATTTATTTTTAACAATAAAATTATGATTTATGATAATTGTTGTAATAATTTTAATAACTTAATGTACAAAAAGTAATAAAAAAATTAATAATATAACAATTATAAATTATTATAGTATTATTCCACGTCCAATCATGAAATGAAGAATTGTAAATGAGTTTTTACCATGGTAACCAAAGATAATCTAATGTGGTCTATTTTTATTAAATAGGAGATGCATTTACAATAATTATTATATAATTATTATATATAATTATTAACGGAGGTTAACGGAAATGAAAAACTGCAAATAAGTAAATAATACTAAATAAATAGAAACGAAAAAACAAAAAAACAAATAGATTTTAGATTTTGAGGGTAGATCAATCATCAATCTATCTATGTCTATATATGTATAATGCTATTCATAGATTAATTAAAATCTAAATATAAATATATTTTTAATCTATTCAAGGGAGAAGTTGAAAAGGCACATTTAATCTTATATCCTCACTCTAACCATATATTTTTTTTAAATAAGAGGAAAAAAACTGAAATTTTATTTATTTCATTCATTTTTAAACTTATACACCCTCAATTTTCATTACGTTTCTTGGATTGATTGTTTAGAATCATCCACAAGAATTGAAATGAATTGAAACTAGCTATTTGTGGAAATAAAAGTTGAAAATAGTTATATGGTTAAAATTTATTTTTCATTCGATACAATTCTAATTGATAATTTGCTACTACTATATATATCATTTTAGCTTCTAATTTTCAAAATCTTTTCTACTCACTAATTTTTTTATATGATATTTGTCATGGTATTTTATTTGTTAGATTACTAATATTTACTTTTATTTTGAGATATATGTTTTAACTATTTTTACTTTGCATATTTTGTTTCAATATTTTAAATTAATATTATATTATATTTTAAATAAATCCATACCTTATTTAATAAAATTGGGTATAAATTTTGTATATAAATATATTGCATAGCCTATAATATTCATCTAAATTGTCTTCCATTGAGAAATTATTTAGTCATGGTCTTACCTCTTCATTTAACAAAAAATTAATTTTTTCAGTTATGTATACTATATATTATTATCTTTTCAATATTAACAATTAATAATTATCATACTATAATATTCATTTGAATCATTTTCTGTTGAGAAATTAATTGGCTATAGTCTTGCCTCTTTATCTACCAGATGATTACTTTTTTCAGTTACTT